AGGGGGAGAGAGAAAGTGTGGGTGAGGGGGGAGAGAGAAAGTGTGGGTGAGGGGGAAGAGAGAAAGTGTGGGTGAGGGGGGAGAGAGAAAGTGTGGGTGAGGGGGAAGAGAAAGTGTGGGTGAGGGGGGAGAGAAAGTGTGGGTGAGGGGGAGGGAGAGAGAAAGTGTGGGTGAGCGGGAGGGAGAGAGAAAGTGTGGGTGTCTATGCAATACAGATCTACACCCACGCCCTTAGTCCCGTTAGCCCCCTTAGTCCCCCTAGTCCCCTTAGTCCCTCTGCCTTGGTAAAAACGGGGTGTTATTTTTTATTCAAAATTCAATTTGAAATAAAAAAACGCATAGACTCACATATAAATACAAGAGAACTCGATTCTTATGTTTGAAAGTTGTTGATGTTGTATGTACGTAGTATTCCTACAATAATATCCCTATGACATTCATTTGTATATGATTTTCTAGCGAATTAAATGATCAATGTTTTAAAAAAAATAAAAAATAAAAGTTCACTCCGAATCTATGAAAACTAGAGAAAATACGGAGATTCTCATTCTTTATGGATCATCGATTAGAATCTAATTTATCAGAGTGAAAATGATTTTTATTTTCATAATCATAAGTTAACATATAGAAATTTTTATTATTTTATAATAAAATTAAGTATATTTTTATCATACTTTGTATATCCTATGAATATCTCATTCAGGATTAATCATCAAGAGTTGAATTTAAACTCAAAATATTCCCTGTAAAAAACGGTTTTTCTGTAAAAAGTGAAAGAGAAAATTCTAGGCTAACTTTCATCTCTGCATCTGATATTGTAGTCATTGCTATCAAAATAAAAAAACAAGACGAGTCTAAAAGATGCCATTTTGACTTAATTATGGCCTTTTTTCTAGGAACTATGGAACTGCAGACTGAAAAACCTGAATTCTCGAAATTCTGCACGAAAAGACAATTGGTGTAGGTCATAAGGATGACCATGGAAATTTCCAAATTATGATTGATTGATGACACTTTTCAAGACAAGAAAATGCCTATTTTACTTTATTTTTGTAGGCATCACGCAATGAAAAAGTCTAAAAAAACATTTTTTTAGAGTAGAAAATTGTTCGTTTGATGATGGTACGCTCGTTAAATCTTCTATTGTAACATTAACTTGATTCTCTTTAATTTATTATGAATAATAGTTTCACGAATAATCGTACTAATTAGAAAACATAATTAAGAGATAACTCACAAAAAAAGAAAAAAAAATCTTTCAGAAAAGTGATTCTCAATTGACGTTTGCAATATTTTTTAGCATCAACTGTTTTTCTATCCTATCTCTTACTATTCAGATTTGTTTTCGATTCATAAAAAAAAAAAAAAGATTCATCCGTGATATTGAACATAGGAAATATTTTATAAAAATCAAAACTAAAATAATTCTCTCCAAATGCCTTTACTTTTGAAAAACTTCGCTGATTTACAGTGATTCATTTAGTCAGAGTAATAGTTAGATTGTCAACTGCTCATATTTATTCTATAACGTTTATTTTATTGAAAAAAATCATATTGAATTTTAGTTAACAATAAGAATTTCTTTCTAAACGACTATTTAATTAGGACGCTGATGAAATCAAATAATTACAGATCTATTTCAACTACGAATCAACATCAAACTTAACAAAAAAAATAATTTTTTCAGAGAAAAATGTTTCAAAGACATGTTCCACATCTAAAACTATTCAATAACAAAAGATTAACTCATATCTCGTGCATGCAACCTTTGACTAAAACTCTAATAGGAAGTGACTATTATACAAAAGTACATCATAGTCTTAAACTTTCTTGTTACTTGAAGATCTGCATATCAGATTTTAGCTTTACAACTAAATTGTTTTTTTACACTTTCGCTCGATTCGAGTTGATATAGATATATTTTTCTTTGAAAGCTTGAATTATATTCATTATTCCAGAAAAACAATTGATATTAGTATCTAAATAACAAAATACAGAACTTCATACTCGAATGTATAAGTTTGATTGACATATAAAATAATCTTTTTTTTTTTTAAATTGACTAATATTGGTGAGTTTCAATATAAAATACAAATGATATTCTTTAGAATTTGACGAAAGAAAAAAAATAAAACTATCTATCAAGCAACAAAAAAATATTAAAACATAAGTTGATAATTTTATTAAAATTTTATCTTTGAATAAAAATCAATTAAATGAACAATCAAATAATTAAATTGAGAAAAAGTTTCTATTTGATACCAATATCGAAGTGGTAATGTTAACATATGCATAAATTTATGATGATAAGTGGCATAACATGACGCTATTAAATTATTTACTATAATATTTCCTTCAAATGTTAATGGAGTAGAAATTATTTGATTATAAAGTATGATTTCTTTTATATTAATTACTCGTAAAGGTTTTAGTTCCGAGGAAAAAACAAAATCACCAATAGCAATATTATATGCAAAATTATAATGAAAAGAAGATTCTTTCTTAGTATTTTTCTTGATAAGAATTGAATGTGATGGTGTAAGACGAAGTGGTTCTTGTTTATTTATTGTATATATTTCCAAAAAACGAACCGATGGACGTTGATGATGAAATATTGTTAATACTCGACTTTTTTGAATTTTTCCAGATGATAAATGAACAAGAACTTCTTCACCAACGTTTAATAAATTTAATGGACGAATAGAACCATCAGCAAGTGTAATATTTGTTTTATCGAAAAAGCAACCAAGTTCTTCAAAAGAATTTTATATAAGTATTTCTTTGAATTTCAACTTACCGAAAGATTTTTCTGTAGTTGATTCTATAGTTGTTGTAGTTTCTTCTGTTGTTGAAATTGTAGTAGGTTCAGTAGTTGTAGTTGTTGTAGGATAAAATATAAATTGAGTTAATAGATAAAAACATCCATTAAATAGAAAAAAAATAACGATAATTGTGAGAATCGTTTTTAAATGTCTCCATCCTAATCGTCTGTTCAATGTTTGATAATTCTGTTCCATCCATCGATACATTTTTTTTTATACGTTAGATCTAGAACTTAAACAAACAAAAAAAAAACTAATAATATTTCATAAATAATTTTTGTCATACATTTAAAATGACTCAATGTCAAAATGAAAAAAACAAACTATGATAATTTTTATGTATTAGTCGACATACTATTTTACCTTCATGTGTATGATTGAAACTATGCTTCCTCTTTGATTCTCACCTCTTTTTTATTTGTTTAGTCAACGCGATGCTGAAATTTCTGTTGCATAGTAACGAACTAATACAAATAAAAAGTCAGAGAAAAGAAAATTACTTTTCTCTCTTGCGAAAGCATATTTAAAAAAAAACTCAAATTATTTATTCAGCCATAGAAAAAAAACAGAACTGAATAACTCAATTCAAACAAACCAGCCAATTCTATTCAACTAATTCAAAAAAAAAACTTCCATCCAGCTCGATTCAATTCAATTCATAAAATCCTGAAAAAATTCTTCGATTCAATTTCATTTTATTCATAAGTCTTCAGAAATATCTTGTCAATTCAATTAATTTGAGTTGATCATTTTAGATTTGAGTAATATAGAGAAATTCAGTACCTGGCATTGCTCTGATCAATATGTAGAGATGTTGATTATTGCACTCATAAATCAAGTCCATAGAAATACACATCGATTAATTAAGAGAATACATGTATGAGCTAGATGTCACACGGCGTAAATATCGACAGCAAATAGTGATAAAATTATGGGAATATAAAAACAAAATATAGAAAATTTGAATTTGATTCAGACAAATCTAAATAAGAACTTAACAAAATGTTAGAAAAAAAAATCATGACATTTTATTTTTTTGCAGGTTCGTTTTATAGATTTATTGTTTCGTCAAAATTAATAGAATCATCATTCTTCAATTGAATTAGCCATTTTTTTGTTTTTTTTTTACTAAGTTGCTCGACTCTGGTAAAAAGAGAATGAAATAGATGAATCAGTTTTAAAATGTTTACTTGTCACCGAAAACTTTAACAGATTATATTGCCTGACATTAAGTTCACATAATTGATAATACAAAAGTTCTACAGTAATTTTGTTTTTAGTATAGCGTGATAATAACTCATCATGGAGACTTGATAGTTTTCTTGTTAGAAAGAGTAAAGTCTTTTCTTGAAATTTGTATAAAAATCTTTGGTTCAAAATACTTAACAAAGACAGAAAAGTTTTTGAGAACACGTTTATCTGAAAAAGTTCTCTGCATACTTCTGAAATTTAGAAGAAAACCTCCATTCACTAAGAAAGTTCGTCTTATTTTCCGTCTTTTATCGGATTTTGTAACGAGATGATAAAGCATGGGCAATAGGTAAAAATAAAACGTTCCAGTTATCAAACTCGAAATCGATATTTTTCTAACAGTTTTTGCTAGCGAAAAGTGTTCTCGATTAAAAAGTCATTTCAAAAGATAAGATTTTTTTCCAACAATCAAAATCACTGAAACCCCATATTTTATATCCAATTAAAGTTTAGCGAGTCCTCTACAAAAGTACATTATATAAAACAGAATATATTTCTTCTTTTAGACATTATGAGAATAACTTTATTGAGGCGTTGTAGAAAGAAAATGAAGTTCTTTTTGTTTATAAAACTTTCTCCTATGCATCCTGTAGTTTTTGTAACTCGAATAATTTGATATGACTAGATAGGCCGCATCATGTTTATTACACTCAAAGATTATGTACCTAAAAATACATCGATTAAATGCATTTTTCATTAGTGATTTTGTATGAAAGCGCAATGCGCTTTTCCAGCCAAACATGTTCTTAA